ACAGGTGTGGCATATCAAGATGCTGATTAGACAGCATGATTATTGCACAGGTGTGCCTAAGGCTGGCCACAATAAAAGGCCACTCTAAAATGTGCAGTTTTACTGTAATGGAAGGGTCCGAAAATCAGTCAGTATCTGGTGTGACCACCATTTGCCTCATGCAGTGCAACACATCTCCTTAGCATAGAGTTGATCAGGATGTTGATTGTGGCCTGTGGAATGTTGGTCCACTTCTCTTTAATGGCCGTGCGAAGTTTCTGGATATTGGCAGGACCCTGGAATATGCTTATCTAGACTAGAGCATACCAAACAGGCTCAATGGGTGAGTATGCTGGCCATGCAAGAGCTGTGATGTTTTCAGCTTCCAGGAATTGTGTACAGATCCTTGCAACATGGGGCCGTGCATTATCATGCTGTAACATGAGGTGATGGTCATGGATAAATGGCACAACAATGGGCCTCAGGTTCTCTTCACGGTATCTATGTGCATTCAAAATGCCATCAATGAAATGCACCTGTGTTCGTTGTCCATAACATATACCATACGCCCATATCATAACCTCACTGCTACAATGGGCCACTCGATTCACAACATTGACATCAGCAAATCGCTCACCCACACGACGCCATACACGCTGTCTGCCATTTGCCCTGTACAGTGAAAAACGGGATTCATCCGTGAAGAGAACACCTCTCCAAAGTGCCAGACGCCATTGAATGTGAGCATTTGCCCACTCAAGTCGGTTAAGACGACGAGCTGCAGTCAGGTCGAGACCCCACAGAGGATGACGAGCATGCAGATGAACTTCCCTGAGACGGTTTCTGGCAGTTTGTGCAGAAATTCTTTGGTTACGCAAACAGAATGTTGCAGCAGCTATCCGGGTGCCTGCTCTCAGACGATCTTGGAGGTGAAGATGCTGGATGTGGAGGTCCTGGGCTGGTGTGGTTACACGTGGTCTGCAGTTGTGAGGCCGGTTGGATGTACTGCCAAATTCTCTGAAACGCCTTTCCTGCAGTCAGCATGTCAATTGCCCGCTCCCTCAAAACTTGTGACATCTGTGGCATTGTGCTGTGTGATAAAACTGCACATTTTAGAGTGGCCTTTTATTGTGGCCAGCCCACACCTGTGCAATAGTCATGCTGTCTAATCAGCATCTTGATATGCCACACCTGTGAGGTGGATGGATTATCTTGGCAAAGGAAAAGTGCTCACTAACAGATTTAGACAGATTTGTGAACAATATTTGAGCAAAGTAGGCCCTTTGTGTACATAGAGAAAGTCTTATATCTTTGTGTTTAGCTCATGAAAAATGGGGGCAAGAACAAAAGTGTTGCGTTTATAATTTTGTTCAGTGTATATTACAGGTCCATCTCAATCCCACTCTGCGTATTTATAGTCTATCACAAATCAGAGGTTCCAAACTCAATCTTCAAAGCAACAACTACGGTCCACGTTTTGTCAGTAAACCCATAGTAACATGATTAGGAAATGTCGGTTTCCTGGACAGTTGGTGGGCCATGAGGGCTGGGTTGAGTACCACTGACCTATATCACATCCAAGCTGTTCTACGTTTTTACACAATCACAAGGAGTCACATATCTCTATATAATAGTTTTGTCTCAATCCCACTCTACAAGCTTCCAGTCTATCACAAGGAGTCACAGATCTCTATGGTTTGGCTCAACCTCATTCCCTTGCGATCTATATTGTGTATTCGTAATGCATTACGTTGAGGCGCAGATCTATACAATACGGTTCTGCTGCCTTTATTTTCTCTTCATTGGATCTGTTATTGGTATGCTACAGGTCATTCACCTCTTACAAAGTATACAGAGACTAAATCCCTTTAATGACCATAACGTAACAAATGGCTTTTTGTAAGACCCTCATGGCTTTCAATGCAGTATAGTCCTCAGACAATGTGTGCCAGGTTTGCGCATCACTGTCCTTTCACAGAATATTGCTGGGGGTTTCTCTTGCGCATCGAGACTCTAGTTGCTAGGCAGCCACCTTTTTACTTGGAACAAAATTAAATTTATAGAACACATTTCACCCAGGTATTTTCACGACAGCTCTTCGTGACTGAAGATATGTATATTATTATATGGGTTCTGTATTTAGATACCCTGTGATACAAGTTCTGGGAAAGTAGTGTTTAACAGCGAACCCATCAAGGGCACAGCCTCCGAGATAATCTTTTCACTGCTCAGCCTTCCTGATGTGCAGAGAGGTTACCTCCATTATCCAGTTGCTAGGAAACCAGGATCTTATTTTCCTGTGGCGAAGCAAAATGACCATTCTGAGCCTTAAAAACACCATATTTCAAGACAAGGATTTTTATTTTTAACAATTTAGCTGCTACTACTGGGGACATTCAGATCTGGTTACGGAGAGAACTAGAGATCTGGATTAAGTGGGCTAACATTTGGGTTAATTATCTGCAAAACTGGGTCAACATCATATGCATCGTATTTGGATAAATCTCAACCATTTCTGGATGCAATGCAATAGGAATAAATGTGAATATACAGTGGGTAGCTTTATGCACATTATAGCTTGTCATTATTATCATCAGGTTGATGAGACAACCAGGTATAATATGGCTTAAGCCAGACCAGACAATAACTGGTTCATTTTATTAAAGAACAATAATAAGTATATAATAATATGTATTGGGAAAAGATTCTTAAAATCCAGATATAGTCACATCTTTTTCTATTTTTGCCTGTATTTTGCAATTTGTATTTTAATTGTGAGTTTAGAAAATAACCCTGCAGCACATTGCAAAAATATATATGTTAAGCAGGATGCTATGCCTCCAGGCTGATGTGCGATGGTTGAATATGAAAAATTCTGATTAAAAATAAATAAATAATAAACAGTAATTAAAACTGCATTAGATGAAGGAGACGAGTGATTGAAGATAGCCGATAAGGGGCAAAATATCAGGAGAATGGTACATCACATTAATTTAAAAATTAAGGCGCACTAGTAATACCAAACTCATTATATAGCAAATTCTTTTAAAAATGAAAATCCTTTATTGCATTGCATGTTCTAGTACTAAAAAATTAACAATATTTTCCCTTACCCCACCAATTGCAATTTTGCCCACACTACATCAACTACACAAACACACTCTGCATTCACTATACACACACTACATCCACAACACACACTCTGCATTCATTATACACACACTACATCCACAACACAAACACACTCTGCATTCACTATACACACACTACATCCACAACACAAACACACTCTGCATTCACTATACACACACTACATCCACAACACAAACACACTCTGCATTCATTATACACACACTACATCCACAACACAAACACACTCTGCATTCATTATACACACACTACATCCACAACACAAACACACTCTGCATTCATTATACACACACTACATCCACAATACAAACACACACACTCTGCATTCATTATACACTTTATACTTTACACAAATGTACAATCTGCATCCACGTTACAAACGCACTCTGCAATCATTGCATCCACTATGTACACTAGGGCCCTGTGGGCAGACTTGGGGGCGGGACCAGACCATCTGTATCAGGGGCCCCAAAATTTCTGATGGCAATCCTGCCTGTAGTTTATAATATATAGGAGAACAACCAGACAATTCCTAGGGCATCATTGCAGATTACAGTTATTTAACATAATGCATTAAGATAAAATTAACACTAGTTACAATGACAGCTTTGGGGTTCATTAGATCTACATCCTTATCACATCTGAAACGTTTATTGCATAGCAAACACATACATTTATTTTTTTCTAAGCCCCATGTGTTGGTGCTACAACTCTACAAAATTCTGAGAGCTACCAGCGTGTGGAGAATTCTGGGGTTTGTAGTCACAGTTTAACATCCCAACCATGAGCCCACACTGAGAGTGCACAAATTCCATAACTCAATGTAAATCTATAGGTTTCAGTGCTGCAATCAAAGCTTCCCATGCATTTCATTTTAGAAGTCAAAGAGATGGGAGCAAGCGGGTGTAGAATTCAGAAATTCAGCTGATCTGTAAACATTTAAATTGAAGAAAAAAAAAAAAAATCCAATTGATTTTTATGCCTTAAATTCAGAAGAATGAACAGGTTAGTGAAGAACAGGCTAGATTAGCCAAGCTGTTACTTGTAGAGATCATTGTTTTTTTTTCTAAATCAGCTATTTTGTACAAATTTTGCAATTTAGTTTTTAGTTCAGCACAAATCACTGTGTAGGGAACATACTCCATTGACACATCTTTCTGTCCCACAGAGGGAGTACTAATTTTTAGTGCAAACATTGACCTGCCTCCTGTCTGGCGAAACTAGTAGAGATCAATCTACTAACGATGGATCATAACCTGGTACAGAGAGGCTACAAATAAAGGCACAACCAAGAACTTTGTTTAATATGCATGGGCCATGGTACTACTGCCACCATAACCACTACAGCGGAGTTGGGGTAAACATTTAATGCAGAGAGATCTACCATGCGGTTAGGATTACATAAAGACAATTATATTATAATCTCCCCACCCAAAACTGCTGTTTTTGTCCACTGCAGACCACATAAACAGTAATATTGCCTCAGTTTGTTTAAATAATTGTGTAAAATATAATTAAATTTGGGTATTCACGTTCCTGGCTGTATTTTGAGGTGGGTGTATTGGTAATAATACATTTTTTTTTTTTTTTTTAAATGTTAACTACCTCAACGGCAAAACATTAGAGATGAAAGATAAATCAAATCACAGTACAACATATGGTACCAAATATATATATATATACACACACACACACACACACACACAGGTTTGTAAGGAAACCAAGTATATTTAAACCTCATTCGGTAGATTCCTCCTGAACCGCCAGAGCCTTAGTGATTATAGCCCTCCGTTCGGTAGATAAGGTAGACGAATCCTATAGTAATTCCAATAGCTTCACCAGATAATTCCTTTAGTGAAACACACGAATCCCCAAACATCAGCCGAAGTCAAGAAGAAGAGTACAAAATGAACTGTCCTTTAATGGGTACACACAGCTTTTATGCAAGTCCCCATGCAAGGGGACAGCCCTCAGGGAGGGACAAACAATTACCAATCACAGGCAGCAAAACGTTAACACACCCACAATTCCCTCCTCTAGCCCAGGACATAATTTAGTCTGATAAAATAGTAACTTAATTAGCTCCGGGCTGAAAAATCATTTTCCCCAACTTTCAGAACACCCCTTTATACTGGGGGTATCCCCATAAATGTGTCCCCTGATAGCCCTGATCTGGGTGACCAACATATTCGAATTTCACCCAGATCGATTCAGGGGTTCGCAAATTTTATGGAAGTCTTGTGTGACCGGCTCACCCTGGGCTGCATGCCCAAAACAGTTCCACGAATTTGGTGGGTTTTGCCTGTCACTTTCGAAAAACATAAAAATGATAAAAATACAGAATGGATCCCTCTGGCTCCTAGCAGCGTTCGTGCCCCTCTGTCGAATGCACCAAAGTACCGAATAGCGCTCTTCTAGCTATTCGGTAAATAGAGTTCCAGCGTTCATCTGTTTGGGACCGGTGTTCGGGAAGTCGAGTGTCCGTAAAACAGTTCCATGCAACACAAACACACTCTGCATTCATTATACACACACTACATCCACAACACAAACACACTCTGCATTCATTATACACACACTACATCCACAACACAAACACACTCTGCATTCATTATACACACACTACATCCACAATACAAACACACTCTGCATTCATTATACACACACTACATCCACAATACAAACACACACACTCTGCATTCATTATACACTTTATACTTTACACAAATGTACAATCTGCATCCACGTTACAAACGCACTCTGCAATCATTGCATCCACTATGTACACTAGGGCCCTGTGGGCAGACTTGGGGGCGGGACCAGACCATCTGTATCAGGGGCCCCAAAATTTCTGATGGCAATCCTGCCTGTAGTTTATAATATATAGGAGAACAACCAGACAATTCCTAGGGCATCATTGCAGATTACAGTTATTTAACATAATGCATTAAGATAAAATTAACACTAGTTACAATGACAGCTTTGGGGTTCATTAGATCTACATCCTTATCACATCTGAAACGTTTATTGCATAGCAAACACATACATTTATTTTTTTCTAAGCCCCATGTGTTGGTGCTACAACTCTACAAAATTCTGAGAGCTACCAGCGTGTGGAGAATTCTGGGGTTTGTAGTCACAGTTTAACATCCCAACCATGAGCCCACACTGAGAGTGCACAAATTCCATAACTCAATGTAAATCTATAGGTTTCAGTGCTGCAATCAAGGCTTCCCATGCATTTCATTTTAGAAGTCAAAGAGATGGGAGCAAGCGGGTGTAGAATTCAGAAATTCAGCTGATCTGTAAACATTTAAATTGAAGAAAAAAAAAAAAATCCAATTGATTTTTATGCCTTAAATTCAGAAGAATGAACAGGTTAGTGAAGAACAGTCTAGATTAGCCAAGCTGTTACTTGTAGAGATCATTGTTTTTTTTTTCTAAATCAGCTATTTTGTACAAATTTTGCAATTTAGTTTTTAGTTCAGCACAAATCACTGTGTAGGGAACATACTCCATTGACACATCTTTCTGTCCCACAGAGGGAGTACTAATTTTTAGTGCAAACATTGACCTGCCTCCTGTCTGGCGAAACTAGTAGAGATCAATCTACTAACGATGGATCATAACCTGGTACAGAGAGGCTACAAATAAAGGCACAACCAAGAACTTTGTTTAATATGCATGGGCCATGGTACTACTGCCACCATAACCACTACAGCGGAGTTGGGGTAAACATTTAATGCAGAGAGATCTACCATGCGGTTAGGATTACATAAAGACAATTATATTATAATCTCCCCACCCAAAACTGCTGTTTTTGTCCACTGCAGACCACATAAACAGTAATATTGCCTCAGTTTGTTTAAATAATTGTGTAAAATATAATTAAATTTGGGTATTCACGTTCCTGGCTGTATTTTGAGGTGGGTGTATTGGTAATAATACATTTTTTTTTTTTTTTTAAATGTTAACTACCTCAACGGCAAAACATTAGAGATGAAAGATAAATCAAATCACAGTACAACATATGGTACCAAATATATATATATATACACACACACACACACACACAGGTTTGTAAGGAAACCAAGTATATTTAAACCTCATTCGGTAGATTCCTCCTGAACCGCCAGAGCCTTAGTGATTATAGCCCTCCGTTCGGTAGATAAGGTAGACGAATCCTATAGTAATTCCAATAGCTTCACCAGATAATTCCTTTAGTGAAACACACGAATCCCCAAACATCAGCCGAAGTCAAGAAGAAGAGTACAAAATGAACTGTCCTTTAATGGGTACACACAGCTTTTATGCAAGTCCCCATGCAAGGGGACAGCCCTCAGGGAGGGACAAACAATTACCAATCACAGGCAGCAAAACGTTAACACACCCACAATTCCCTCCTCTAGCCCAGGACATAATTTAGTCTGATAAAATAGTAACTTAATTAGCTCCGGGCTGAAAAATCATTTTCCCCAACTTTCAGAACACCCCTTTATACTGGGGGTATCCCCATAAATGTGTCCCCTGATAGCCCTGATCTGGGTGACCAACATATTCGAATTTCACCCAGATCGATTCAGGGGTTCGCAAATTTTATGGAAGTCTTGTGTGACCGGCTCACCCTGGGCTGCATGCCCAAAACAGTTCCACGAATTTGGTGGGTTTTGCCTGTCACTTTCGAAAAACATAAAAATGATAAAAATACAGAATTGATCCCTCTGGCTCCTAGCAGCGTTCGTGCCCCTCTGTCGAATGCACCAAAGTACCGAATAGCGCTCTTCTAGCTATTCGGTAAATAGAGTTCCAGCGTTCATCTGTTTGGGACCGGTGTTCGGGAAGTCGAGTGTCCGTAAAACAGTTCCATGCAATCGCCGACCAGGTCCCGCTGCCTTTGTTCGCATGAACAAAGATGGCCGTGGTTTTCTCTGCCACATGGCATTCAACTAACGAACGCTGGCCGCACAGACAGAGGTGGCAATTTCACCTAAACCTTTGATGTTTAATGAGCCAGAGGGTGGTCCTTGTTCGGTAGTTTCATCTACCGAATGCAATAGGCAGCAAATAGAGGATAAAAAGGTAATGCAAACAGTAAATAACATAGGGAACAGGGGGGTTTCTTCACAAGGTTTATTTACCTTTATTAGTACAAAAAAGTTTCCTCATTTGAAATTCTCCATAACCGGTTTTTAACAATATATCCAATAGAAGCATTGACTCACTCTGCAAATACCCGATGATTGCTTGTGAATAGTGACATGCTATGAAACATTGACCAGCAATAGAAACGCATTCAGTTTAAGCTCAACAATAAAATTTAAGTGCAATACTGAGTAACGATTGATCATTTTAGTGGCTTCCTTCGTGTAATTCATAATAAGGCACAAAAGCAAGAATCATTGAAAATTGAATGATCTATGAAAACAGAGAGCTCTGCTCCACTGCTCGCCCAGCACTATCACTCCCAGACAGCCAACCCTTAACGGACACGATTCACTCCTGCTATTTCTTGCTGATGATCATCCTGAGCATTTTCAAGGCAACTTGACCCTGATCCGAAGGAATCTATATACATAAACAAAATAAGTTATACGTTGAGAAGAAGAACAGATGTGGCAAGCAGGCATAGTATGTGCTGTGCGCACTATGGCCAATAGGTGTCATGTGTGATGTTGGTACAAGGGTGGTGACCAATGTGCGGTGCTGTATATAGAGACATTATGTGGGTAAAAGATGGGTGACGTGTGTGAATTTGGTAGTTTGAATAATAGGGTGTCAGATAGGTGCTGCATGTGAGGAGTATTTCCTGAAGGCAGTTATGGTGTGCCGTAACTATGACCACCAGGTATTGTATAACAGAGGTGTGCCAATCTGTACACTGAATATTATGTCCGTCATGGGGTGATCGTTGGATTAATTCGAAACAAGCACAGCTTACCATGTGCCCGGCCTTCAGAATCCAGAAAAAGCTGAAGTTTTCGTACGATTTATGAAAAGCCACAGTCTCTGTGCACTGAGGACACATGTGAAGTGGGCTCCACACACGGTTTCTGAACTCAACCATTTTCTGCCACTTTAATTGTTTTACCCAGTTCTCCTGCCCTAAAAACACAAACAAACAAACAAAAAATGGATCCCATCCCGAAACAATACACGTTGGGACAAAGTTTTGGTACCAGGACTAAACTGTTCACTTAGATTAAATGGGGAAAAAAAAGGGGAAGAAATCCCACAAACATTCTGGTCTCTTTGCCCTATATAGCTCTGTAATTTTATTGATTACAAAATAAAATATATATATATATATATATATATATATATATATATATATATATATATATATATATATATATATATATATGTAATGTAAAATATATGTAATAAACAAGATCTCAAGATAAAATTTGCACTTGCATTAACACATTCCAGGTTTTATTGCTGGTGAAGGAGGTAATAGAACGATGTATTAAGGTACGCTATACCTGTCTCCAATAACAAATTCAAGGCAGGTACACTAATCTAGTATATTGAAACCATTGAGCAGTTTAAGAATTATAAAATAAAACAATTAACACGGTTGATTAAAAGGGATGTTGTTTTTTTTTGGCCAAACGGATTTAGCATTCTTTGTCAATGAAATCACAAAAAGAGGCAAAGGCTACAAATCTGTAGTGGAAGCTGGACTTACCCACTGTGTCCACAATCAGGTCCAGCTGTCCATTATACACAGTAACATTAATGTTCTCACTCAAGAGTTCATCAACAATGTCAATGACAGGCTTCATGAAGTCACCAGCCATCTTGGCAAATACATCTTGGGCTTGACCTGATTTGAAAGGGATATCTCTATATTAATCTGAAGAGTTAAGGTATTGAGAGCAACATAGCACGTCAGAATATACACACACACACAGACACACACACACAAAAAAAAAAGTCTCCTGGTCAAAATCATTTACTTATACCAACATACATTGCTTCATGTAGATATTACTTTCTATGGTTCAGAATTATAAACTAATAAATGTACCTCCCCACATGACATCATCAGGAATGATTTTCAGCACTTTCCTTATTGGTCCATTCATCAGTTCAGACAGGTAGTCGTTTTGCCGAGGTAGCAGGTGACGTTGAAAAAGCTTCCCTAAAGAAGAAAAGTTTTGAGAATTTGTAACATTGATACAAGACCCAGAATCTCACCAATTACATTTTAGAGCTTACCGAGAAAATTGTTGCCAAATTTTGAGTTTTCCATAAATTTGTTTCTGTAGTCCATTGTAGATTCTTTGGTTAAAATGTTGTAAAAATTCACATTATCTGTATACTGAAAAGACAAAGCAGATTAAGGTCAGATGGTGAATGCAGGTCAGAGTAATGTTAAGGAGCAGATGAGCAAACCTTATTTTACTATAGTTCTCTTTACGTGACTGCAAACACAGGATACCCACTGGCTGTACAGCCTGCCCCATGTAAAGATTCCTGGTTTTTGCAAAGGCACCAGACGCATATGAAACCAGACATAACCCATCTAGGCAGTGCGAGCAAAAATATCACTCGTCACTGAGGAGGCCCAACGTAAGCTGCTGTGTTTCTTGTGCAAAAGGAAAATGTTAGCATTTAGCTTCAAGATGCCACTGCAGGAGAGATCAGTATGATGAGGAAATGAAATTGGTTCACTCTGTAATAGCACAAATGAGCTTTAAATAGTTTGAGAGAAGACTAACCAGAAGGGAAGCTAATAAATGTATCTGCTCAGAGATTTTTTACTTCACTATAATTAGCAGAGGCCAAAGTATCATCATGCACAAACACTGTCAGGACTTTCTGCAGACAGAGTCTGTATAACATAAGTATCATTGTATACTGATCTGATGGCCAGAAGATTTTAAAACAAACAAAAAAGCTAAAGTGGGACGGAAATTTTTTTTTTTAAAAAGCAGCCTGTTTGTGGAGTAGAGACTTGCCACCAATAACACACATGCACCAAATCCAGGCTTCACATTTACATGGGGTGCGATGCACTGCATCAGATAATATTTTGGCTAGATGCGCCTCAGTTTGAATCGGAGCTTCTAAAGGCAAACACAGAGGGCAGAGAATTGTTTAATGGATTTTCTAATTGCTAGGAGATTATGGATGTTCGCTTGTTTTGTATTTTCTCAAGATTATTAGAAGAGAAAGAAAGTAGACACATCCATGATTCCAGTGTAATAAGCTTTTCAAAAGCTCTAGAGAGCAGAGGGGCATTTCAATGTCAAACTGCTTAAATTCTAGGCCACGGCCAGCAAATGTGATAAAACATGCTCTAAGGGCCAGAAAGGCACACTGCAGCTCCCCCCTCCCTATGTGCATTGGAAGAACCTAAGCATCATTTTAACAGGATTGCCCCTGTAACCCAGGTGATATAGAAAGTCTTGGTGAAACCTGTAGAAACCTTGGCCAAAGGCCTCCCAGATCTCCTCCCAATCAGCACCTTCCATACTGTCGCCTATATCTTGTTTCTACTAAGAAATGTATCTCTGGCCCCCTTAATCATAGGACTGGCTTTGTGTTACTTTTGTAGCATCCAAAATCTAGAGAGTTACCCAGGTCTTCCTGTTACAAAATACTCAATACAAACTGCATGCAAATGGACTGACATCAGTAACGCAGGAAAACATCTCACACTATCTACTGTCACATTCATATATTAGACCATATATTGGTCACCTGGCAGACAAAAGGCCGATATGGACAACAGACAGAGGCTGGACATAATACACACTAGTCGATTACTTTAATTCTGGGGGTTAGCCAGAATGGTTCGGTTTAAAGCAGTTATGAGAAAGAGGCTATAAAGATGGGCCTATGAAAAGCACTTGAATTGACCTGGAATATATAATTCTATATTTATCAAAGTCTGCAAACAAGATCTAGACTATATAAAATAAATATATTACAGTAGAAACATTTATATTGTGGTTATATATTTGATGAACATATCCCATTAACCTGATCTGTTGGCAGTTCCTGTGGCCAAATCTGAAGATCTAGACATCAAAAAAAATTCACAAACATGCATATGCAACACACACACACACGTATGTAAAATATATTAAATAGCCATCTATTCTATATAATGTACAAATTAGGATTCTGATAAATCAAAATGATACCTGTTCGACTACGTCCTCTGTTTTACTCCACAATTCTGTGGCGCGGTCAAACTGATTATTCTTGACAGCGTTCTGCACTTCCTTCGCACACTCCTTAACCTTGCTTAGACCTTGATCATCAAGCAGAGACTGAAATACAAGAGATACAGATGTTCATAATTTTCAAGTTATGGGATACTCAGCTACAACATGAGGAGAAGAGCAGACATGCTGTGGGCGTCCAGTGGGACCCAGGTAAGTTGTCAAAACAAGGCAAACATGGCACCATATACACTACAACGAGCTGTAGTGGTTACGATACATGCAGTGTTCCTTAAGCTCATTTAAACCATTTTCACACAATGCACGATGTAGAATTTAAATACATTATTTTGTAGCATTGTTGTTTAACTCAAAACTGACCTTTTATAAAAAAAGTTATCTGGTATTTTGAAAACAACATATACTTACAGCACTGTAAAGATAGGGGCCCCAGCTTAAAACAGAATCTGCAAACAGAAGAGACAGGTGAATGTGTGGACTCCTTTTACCCATTTTATCTCTGCTTACATCTTATCGTGAAGGCCGAGATAAGACCTTGTGAGACAGTGGTCCAGCAAAATGGATAGACAGCAATCTTACAGCACAGCAGGAAATAAAGAGCCTTGGTTCAGTGAAACAGTAAAGGTGGAGTGGGAGACACAGACACCCCATCACAGGTGTTACATGATTTAGAATTTTAAACAGGGAAATGATGTGGTAATGATGAACGACCATCTCATAAAAAACTTTGGTATTTAGCATTTCCAAAAGAAAGAGAGAGGACACCGAGAATGGACATAAACTCAGGAGCTTCGTCTCCAGTTAGTCCCCGATCAGAACTCGAAGGAGTTTTAGCTTGTGCCATGACAGAGGGCATACATATCAGCTTCCTATCAGACCACGGTTTTGGCCTGATATGTGGAGCAGTGAGGTGTAGTGGACTTTTCTAAGCACAGTGTGCAAGGTCCTCAGTCATTTATTTCTATTTCGAGTTAGGGAGACCCCAAGCAATACGTAAACAGCGTTAACTCACCAACAGGAGATATCCAGGAATCACCGAGAGCAACTCCTCCAAAGTTACATTTAATTCTTCCTGACTTTATTTCCTGGTAAAGAAGAAATAGCACAGGGGATGAAACTATACCAAAGAAATAAATGTATAATACCCAACTCTTTCTTTGGCTCTACTATTTTAGCTTTAAAGGAACACTAAGCACTGCAGTTCTCTGTAATGGGTATGGTACAGATTGCTTCTGACTATATGTCAAACAGTTTTCAATTATGTCCAACTTTGAAAACAATATGGACTGGCAGTAAATGTTAGCAAAATTTGGTTGGAATGGGTATTGTTAATTAAAAATTTCTGTATTAGTGATGTGGACAGTGAGGGGCAGGGCTGCAGGCATCCAGAAGACAATCTCGGTCAAACCAATAATAAAAAAAAAAAAAGTTTAACACAGAACCAGGGTCTTGCTCGCACCACAACCACTGCAGAGTGTTCTATTACTTATGGATCAAAGAGCTCCCCTTAAATTGATGCAACTTGCCTTGTTAAGTGCTAAAGAAATCGCAGCTGCCATCTTCCCTCCATAGGACTCGGAAAATATATAGAATGGTATTTTCTAGAAAATAAAAGGGAAAAAAATAAATAAAAAAGTATGAAAAAGAACAAAACACACAATAACCAAAACAGAAAAGGAATTACATCTCATGATCAAGTCATTTAGTGTGTCCGAGCTCACCGGCTCTGGAGCATGCCTGACCCTGGCCGCCCCTGCACCCTCTAGCTACGCCACTGCAGACAAGTCATTAACCCTACCAGTGTTGAACTTCCCATACAGACCCGTCACTGGCATATCTACATTATCATTTACTCTGATTGTTCCGAGCAGTCGAACTCTGCGTGGCACACATTCACAATGCCGGCAGAGCTGCCACCCAGTACTTTGTATAATCACCTGGAACTCCGTCTTGGAGTTAAAGAAGTCTTTGAGAAGAACAATCATATCAGCAGAAACAGTGGACACATCCTTTGCAAAAGCATCGTCATTAGTGGTGTAGCTGAATCCAGTTCCCACCGGGTTATCCACAAAGAGAACACTAGCTTCCTTTACCTAGAACACAGTTTACAGACCATTTAAATAGAGAAAAACAAGGAGTGTGGTTCATTTAATGCACTCACAGTGACAGACAGTGAATATCCCTTTACGGAAGGCATAAAAAAGAAAGCTTGGATCCACTTGTAAAATCCACAGTTTCAGGGTTATTCGCTAAAGTGGGAATTCAAAGTAAATTTAAAAGGATACTATAGGCATCAAAACAACTTTAGCCTAATTAAGTAGTTTTGGTGTGTAGATTAGGCCTTGTAGTCTCACTGCTCAATTCTCTGCCATTTAGGAATCAAAATCTCTTGTTTCTGATTATGTAGGGTATATGAGGCTATTAACAGTGCAGGGGATAAAAAAAATTCCAAATTAAACAGACTGTGCAATAAAGGAAGTAAAAACCATTAGATCTCATTTTACAGGAGGTGTTTAGAAAGGCGGTTTAAGTCACATACTGGGAGGTGTGACTAGGGCTGTATAAACAAAGTGCTTTAACTCCTAAATGGCTGAGAATGGAACAGTGAGACTGCAGGGGCATGATCTATACACCAAAACAGCTTCATTAAACTTAAGTTGCTTTGGTGACTATAGTGTCCCTGTAAGGTCAAACTAGCTGTATTGGGGAAATCTCCCAGTCAGCTATGCTTCCAGTTCAGCTATCTTGGTATAAAATAGCTGAACCGGAAGTTCAGCTAAATAACCCTGATTGAGTACTCAATGACACCTCAATGTGGATGCACAGAGCATACAATATATCTATGGATGTCTTAAGGGTAGGCACTAGAGACAATGATTATATACTCTATTCAAACACAAAAAAAAAAATAATAATAATAATTCCATCAGATTTGGACACGGTTTCCCACTGACAGCTTGTACCGGGAAAAATAGGTTGTGATTTCTTGTCTAAAAACAGTCGCTACCTTACCCACAAATAAAAAAAAAAAAAACGAAAACCGCCATCATACCCAGGTCGTGTTCCTTTCATGCAAGTACGTGTCATAAGGGCCAATTTCTTCAAAGTTTCCATATCCACATCCAGAAGCTCCCGGTCCACCCTTTTAAAATACAATAAAAATCATGTTTGTGTAAGTCACAGTCTAACAGAGAGAGAGGGAGACGGACATGTCTGGAGAATGTCTTTACATGGAATCATTAAATAAGCAATGGTTTTTAAATTTCCACATCGTTGGATTATGGTACTTGTTGAGTTTATTTAATAGTGGATCATAAAGGCTATTTTTAGTGTGGGAGCGTTTTATGAAATCTGTGATCCCTTGACAATAAGAGATATTATGTTTCATCCTGTAGGAAATCAGGATCTCTCACACTTGAATAATATTAGTTTTCTGTCTCATGTTTCGAATATTTGACAGAACAGTAATGTGGACCAGGGTAAGAACCTGCTGGTCAGTAGATGCCGTATAAAAAGGTAGTGGTGTTGGCATATAATTTCGGAAGATTGCATCTTAAAATTTTCAGAAATGTAACAATTCTCTTACCTGAAGCCACATAACCAACGGAACGTCAGTATAGTTTTTTGTAGCATGGGTTGCGTAATATAACCACCAAAACATGTGTGCATCACTTCTCACATTAACGTAACCCCAATCTTGCTGTGGCACTCTGCCCTTTAATGCCATGCCTGGAAAACAAATGTCAGCAAGTCATATTTTATACTTTTACTTTATTATAGTCTTTACTTTAATATTTTTATATTTCAAGCAAGAACACAAATGATCACAAAGTTATCTAATTGCTGTAATTTCACTGGAAATGTGTACGAATGCAGGATGAGAATGGGACTGATATTTAATGTTTAAATCCCGGCACTCAATTTGATTTACCGTTTCTATTAATTACTGGATACAGTATTCGTATTTATTATGATGAATGCCCCCTTACTTTTACTTGATGCAGTGTCTGTATTACTGAAACGTCCATCCAATGCATTACTGTGTAATTAATCACTGATGGGATCTATTCACTAAATAACAAATTAAAGTGAGCAAAAACTGAACTGTAACATTGAGTGCAAGAAAGTGCTATTTGCAAAAAACCTTCAACCAAGGCTCTAACTGAAGGCGGCATCTACCAAACCCATGCTGATAGAGGGCTGTTACCTACCCCAAGAGGCTGACAGGGGGTTGCACCTACACCCCCCCCCCACCTACCCCTCTCCCCAGGGGCTGTAAGCTACCCCTCTCCCCAGGGGCTGATGCGGGGCTGTAAGCTACCCCTCTCGCCAGGGGCTGATGGGGGGCTGTAAGCTACCCCTCTCGCCAGGGGCTGATGGGGGGCTGTAAGCTACCCCTCTCCCCAGGGGCTGATGGGGGGCTGTAAGCTACCCCTCTCCCCAGGGGCTCATGCTTGGGGGAAGGGATACCTACACTCTGGGGATTGCTATAATCACTTACTCCCCAGAGTAAGCTTTTGTAAGAGCTTAATTTGTTCCTGCTATGCTCTCTGGATTTAGGAGAGGTTCACCCACTGGGAGGGGCTGTAAGCTACCCCTCTCCCCAGGGGCTGATGGGGGGCTGTAACCTACCCCTCTCCCCAGGGGCTGATGGGGGGCTGTAACCTACCCCTCTCCCCAGGGGCTGATGGGGGCTGTAACCTACCCCTCTCCCCAGGGGCTGATAGGGGGCTGTCACCTCCCCCTCCCCCCAGGGGCTGACTGAGGGCTGTAACCTACCCCTCCCCCCAGGGGCTGACAGGGCAACCTGCCTCCCAGGAGGCAAAAGATGAGCTAAAACTAGCTTGAGATCTGAGGGGGACCCATGGAAGAGCAGGCTATTTGAGCTGTTGTCCGTTCTCAGTATTCTCTTGCACCCTGTTTAATGCTGAATGTTTATTTTTACTAATTTAAGTTTTTTTTAGTTTTGCCAACTCTTTTGCAGGCTGCAGGTTTTCCTTTGTATTCCAAAAATAATGCTGTCCATGATTTTGTCACTTATGTTTTTCAGTGTTGTAGTTCATCTCTTATTGTGATCTTCAGTAGACAGATGAAAATCGAGCTACAACTCCCATATAGTCTTACTGTATCCATAAAGTGCCCCCGCAGCACTATTGAAAGTCAGATAAACAACACGATTGGCTAAGACACATCCTGATTTGGTGAAAGCACACTGCCGAAACTGTGCACCCTGATAATTGCATAGATTGCAGTGCAAGACCTTCACATTTATCTTTATATTTAATTTTTTTCAGCCGCAGCCAGGTGGGTCCCTTTGAATAGTTTTTGTGATGTATTGGGGGAAAAAACACATGTAGGCTCACATTTCCCATGAATGGTTTGCAGACAACTAGTTTTAGTAGCTTTGCAGACACTGTGTTGCAGACTACACTATTTAGTGATGTGATCCTTCACATTTGGGTCAATAGTCATCTATAGAAATTAAGTTACTACCTGTCTCCCAAGGCATTTCATTCACTGAATTCCAGATGTGGTGGTCACAGCTGTCTGCCTAGCTCCTGTATTTAGCAGGCAGGAAGGGAACAAGTGCATGAAGCGAAAGAGTAAGAGGGTGACCCTTTCTGTTAAGTACCTTCAAGGCTGCCACCTGTCCTCATTCAAGCTGCATAAAGCATTATAGTCTTATCAGGGACACATCTGTCTCCACCCTGCTGCTTTTGTGTCCTTTCACATTCTGTTTTTTGCTACATCTATTACAGCTCTGCCAAGATGCCTCATCAGACTATAAGGTTTAATCATACTGTTCTTCACTATCGTATTACGTTACGGAAATTGGTGTTGCCTCTAAGCAGTTTGCGTGAAAGCTCCAAAATAAAATAGTTAAGAAAGTAATCTTTCTAACAATACAATCATGTATTTTGCAGGGAGTACCTTTTCTTTCCATGCAAAGCACAGGGTGTTGAAATCGACACGTTGGATGGCTGAAATCTTGACAGAATGCTTCAAATCAAGACCCAGATAAAAAAAAATATATATATTTTTCCTGCTAACTGCTAGTGCAAATAATAATAAAGCCCTCAGTGGCAAGAGAGTTAATTTTTTGGCTGCTGACCGCCACATTAGTTAAAAATAAATATATAAAAAGACCCCATATTACTAAATGGGAGGTTAAACATCTCTGTGGCAGGTGGGGGCATGCCTCCTAAATGCCCAATCACTTGTTTGAGATATTTAGTAGGCATGCCTTCCTTACCTCCCTAATAGTAATATTATACTGACAAAGTCTTATTGAGATGACATTGTATGTAATTATATCTTTCTTTTTTAATGGTACGGCTAGCTAGCAAGCACTGGTCAGCTACCACATAATTAACCTTTACATTGCCAAGGATTTTTAACTATTTGCCTGCTGGTTGCTAACGCTGCCAGTGGGCAAATAGCACTTAACATTATCGTATGCTTACAGAACAGCTAAGGGAAAATAATTTGTGAATGTGCATCCTCCTGGATTCTTGCAGTCGCAGATTTTATTAAAACCATTGCTTTTTTTTAATCTTACATGCAAAAGCACACATTTTATTTGGACACTGAGTGCATGGGATTGCTCAATGACTGTGTTGGCTTTAGTAAATATGAGAATAGCCATTGCAGTCAGTTTTTTTTGTCATTTTCACTGGATTTTGTCCAATCGGACAAAATCTGATTTTTAGGGAGTAACCCTGTTAGAGGAAGATTCGACTGGTGTAGCACATCGATTTGCCATTCATGCGCACTGGCCTCTCAATGCTTCCTTATCGGGAAGCATTGGATTGGCTGAGGTCCTCAAGATCGATAACAGCCAAGGAGGCAGGGCAGCCATGGAGAGAGCAACGTGGCAGGGGAGAAAATTGTAAAATTAGTAAGTAAATCTCACCTTTCTCATGCACGTGGCACGGTGCCTGGAAACCTAAACATCTACAGGACACTAAAGTTTTAGGAATACATTTTTGTATTCCTGACAATAAAGTGTTTTTAAAATCTTCTATACATTAGGGAT